CCCCCCCCTCCCACCCACCCCACTCGCCCCTAAGTCCTAACACCACCAAATTCGTATAACAAAGAGAACGCCATTAAACAAACCCCGAAATCTATCTCGAACAAAATGCCTATATATGTATTCCTGAGCCTGCCCTGCGTGACGCAAATCTGACAGCTGTTGATGGAATTCCGAAATGAAAAAGTTGAAAGACGTGAATATTACACGAGCATCGAGAGACCCATTCTCGAAGATAAAAGTAAAAATGTGTTTGTAGTCCCTCAAGCGCTTAAAATTGTAAATGGCTATCGAATTATATCGGAAAGTTTATATATTTCTAGGCGTGTATTGCGGTTTGCTGTATTTGGTTTAAAGATATAGAATACCGGTAAAATATACTCGAGGGAGGCTATACCTCATATGCATTAACGAATGAGCGCGCACGGACACGCACGCGCGCACACGTGGACACGCCCACGCATACACGGTCACGGTCGCGCACGAATACATGAATACGCACGGACACGCATGCACGCACGCACACACGGACACGCATGCACGCACGCACGCACGCACACACGGACACGCACGCACGCACACACGGACACGCATGCACGCACGTACACACGGACACGCACGCACTCACGCACACGTACGCACTCACGGACACGCATGCATTCACGGACACGCACGCATTCACGGACACGCACGCATTCACGGACACACACGCACGCTTACACACGGACACGGACACATACTGAGAAGACCACAGGCACAGTTAAGTGACTAACAACAGTGATAGCTATGCTGATGATTGTGGCAAAAGCGCCTTTTAAAAATAATTTATGTGGATCTCGCTGTGGCGCGTTGCATTATTAATCATTTTTGATCTGATGATGCGTTTAGATCTTGTTGCAATATTTAAGTGGTTTTCAATTAAGCCTTTAATGTTTTATAATACAGGCGGTTCTGAAATAACAGAACGGTTTACGAAATCGCTTTGAATTCCACATGTATTTTGATTAAATAAAACATTACTTTAGGGATAGCTATATTCCAAGTTAAATGTACACATTCCAAGTAATCCCTATTGTAATACTGGCCATTTGTAACCCACAGCAAGATTACATGTACACAAGTTGAGGATTCCCGTGTGGAACTGATAACCTACTGTCTTTCGTTGCAATCCACTGGGAATCGCTTTAACCCAGTGCAGCTCCCTGTAACTCATTGCATTCCCTCTACCCTGTATCCCCCCCCCCACTTTCAACTCCCTCTATCCTCCCCACCTGCAACTCACTCTATCCCTCTCCGTTCAACTCCCTCTACCCCCCCACCTGCAACTCCCTCTACCCCCCCTCCCCCCACCTGCAACTCCCTCTTCCCGCCCCTCCCCCCACCTGCAACACCCTCTTCCCGCCCCTCCCCCCACCTGCAACACCCTCTTCCCGCCCCTCCCCCCACCTGCAACACCCTCTACCCGCCCCTCCCCCCACCTGCAACACCCTCTTCCCGCCCCTCCCCCCACCTGCAACACCCTCTTCCCGCCCCTCCCCCCACCTGCAACACCCTCTACCCGCCCCTCCCCCCACCTGCAACACCCTCTTCCCGCCCCTCCCCCCACCTGCAACCCCCTCCCTCTAACCCCGTGTAACCCCGGTCCAGCCTGAGGAGGAACGATGCCTGTGCTGAGGCTTTACCGAGGGGCGGGCCACGAGGGAGAAGCCACGAGGGTCCTTCTGCAGCGAGTTCAGCAGACGTGTCCCAGTGTTACGGGGCTTCAGCGGGAGTATTGCTTCTACATTCTGGCGAAGGACGAGTGAGTGATAGTTGATAGTGATGATGGTAATAGTAATAATGATGATGATGATTATAATGATAACGATGATGCTATGGAGGAGACAGGTTAACCAACTGCTCTGTTTTATTAGATGATATATAACTATTTTTCCCCTTTATTTTCATCTATGTTGCACATTATTGCATGCACGTGTACGTCTAGAATGACCTGTACTTAAAAAAAAGTGACATGGGTCTTCTCCCCAGGTCCCCATCGAGTAGCTCAGATGACCTGGAGGGCGTCCTGGGCAAAGAAGGGGCGTGTCGTCTCTGGGGCATTTTGGGGGACCACTGGGCAAAGGGCATGAACCTCCACCAACGCTCCCAGCTGGCCGTCGACGCACCGTCAAAGCAGACCATTGTGGAAATCGGACCGAGGTATATCCAGGGGCTTTGGCAGGTGGATTTAGTTTTCTGAAGTGCAGAACCTTGTGTGGGTTAACGTTTTGTGGATTTGTGAAGTCTGTTGATTTATATTCAGAACAAGCATTTTTCAGATGGATTGTTGCAGATTCTTGATGATCACGTTTTGTTTTCTTATTCAAAGGTTGAGTTTCACAACAGCCTGGAGCACCAACGCCGTCAGCATCTGCCACGCTGCAGGCTTGCCCACCGTCAGCCGACTGGAAAGGGCGCATCGTTATCTATTCACCAGCTCTGAGGAACTGACGTCTGATATCCGACAGAAGGTGAAAAATTTCGCTTTCCTGTTTTGTTATCTCTCTTTATTACATCTTTTCTCGTTTTCTTTCACCGTATCCCCTCCCTTTTTAGTCATCGCTTTCCTTTTTATCCGTCATTCTCCATTACCTTCCATGTCCATGCTCATTCTCTTAAACCTCTTGTGCCTGCTACACCATCCGTACTGCGCTTTCGTCTTCCACCCCCTGTACTTCGTTCATGTCCTCGTCTTCCTCTGTCTCTTCATCCTTGCCCTCGTCATCGCCTTCCTCCGTCTCCTGGTCCTCGCCCTCGTCCTCGTCTTCGTCTTTGTCTTCGTCCTCTTCCATCTGCTTAATGTACTCCTAAACTTCATTTCGTTGTTCTAATCCTCCTCCTGCCTCCTGTATTCTGCTTCCGTCCTTTCCCACCTCCTTCCTGTACTGTACAGTACTTCTTCATCCGTTTTCGTCTTCCTCCTCGCCCTCGGCCTCCCTTCCTCCTCGCCCTCCCTTCCTCCTCGCCCTCCCTTCCTCCTCGCCCTCGGCCTCCCTTCTTCCTCGCCCTCGGCCTCCCTTCCTTCTCGCCCTCGGCCTCCCTTCCTTCTCGCCCTCGGCCTCCCTTCCTTCTCGCCCTCGGCCTCCCTTCCTTCTCGCCCTCGGCCTCCCTTCTTCCTCGCCCTCGGCCTCCCTTCTTCCTCGCCCTCGGCCTCCCTTCCTCCTCGCCCTCGGCCTCCCTTCCTCCTCGCCCTCGGCCTCCCTTCCTCCTCGCCCTCGGCCTCCCTTCCTTCTCGCCCTCGGCCTCCCTTCCTTCTCGCCCTCGGCCTCCCTTCCTTCTCGCCCTCGGCCTCCCTTCCTCCTCGCCCTCGGCCTCCCTTCTTCCTCGCCCTCGGCCTCCCTTCCTCCTCGCCCTCGTCATCGCCTTCCTCCGTCTCCTGGTCCTCGCCCTCGTCCTCGTCTTCGTCTTTGTCTTCGTCCTCTTCCATCTGCTTAATGTACTCCTAAACTTCATTTCGTTGTTCTAATCCTCCTCCTGCCTCCTGTATTCTGCTTCCGTCCTTTCCCACCTCCTTCCTGTACTGTACAGTACTTCTTCATCCGTTTTCGTCTTCCTCCTCGCCCTCGGCCTCCCTTCCTCCTCGCCCTCGGCCTCCCTTCCTCCTCGCCCTCGTCCTCGTCTTCGTCTTTGTCTTCGTCCTCTTCCATCTGCTTAATGTACTCCTAAACTTCATTTCGTTGTTCTAATCCTCCTCCTGCCTCCTGTACTCTGCTTCCGTCCTTTCCCACCTCCTTCCTGTACTGTACAGTACTTCTTCATCCGTTTTCGTCTTCCTCCTCGCCCTCGGCCTCCCTTCCTTCTCGCCCTCGGCCTCCCTTCTCGTCCTCGTCTTCGTCTTTGTCTTCGTCCTCTTCCATCTGCTTAATGTACTCCTAAACTTCATTTCGTTGTTCTAATCCTCCTCCTGCCTCCTGTACTCTGCTTCCGTCCTTTCCCACCTCCTTCCTGTACTTCGTTCTCCTCTTTCGCCATCCACTCACAGTACTTCTTCATCCGTTTTCGTCTTCCTCCTCGCCCTCGGCCTCCCTTCCTCCTCGGCCTCCCTTCCTCCTCGCCCTCGGCCTCCCTTCCTCCTCGCCCTCGGCCTCCCTTCCTTCTCGCCCTCGGCCTCCCTTCCTTCAAGTGTCTCACCCTTTGCCTGAATCCCACTCGTCATCCTCCACACCCTTGTTCTTCTCAGTCCTTCAATTCCCCACCTACGTCCTACAGCACCTGTCCCCTCGAAGAACCAACAATCCCCATTAAACCTTCCCCTCCTCGGCCTCCTCTTTCCAGATCCTGGCGGCGATACACGACCCCATGACGGAGCAAGAGTACAAGACGCCTCTGGAGACCTTCGAGCAGGAGGTTCTGACGGAGGCGTGGTCGGAGGTCGATGTCCTAGGAAGAGGCAAGGAGGCGCTGAAGGAAGTCAACGATGCTATGGGTTAGTGACTTTCTGGGTATTGTTTTCGGCTGTGTTGATAGATGCATTCTGGATTTAATTTGTTGGATGTATAATATATGTATGAACAGTATAAATATGTAAATATAAGCTTGTCATATTTATAGGTATATTTATACACATTTTTGGGAACATATATGTATATATGTAACGCATGCCTGTACGTCTATTTGTGTATGTGTATAGTCAAGTTTGTCTATAGTGGGGGTTTTCTAACATGATAATGGGTTTTGACATTCATGAATGTTTGTGTGTATAAGTACGTAAAAAGTATGGGTATTTATATAATGGATACATGTATTGTGTGCGTGTGTGTTGAATGATTTGTATGGAAATTACCTTTAATGTGTGTAATTTATGTAATGTGTGTCTTGGACATGGATATTGCTGTAACATACATGATTGATTATAATGTCTTACCAGAATGATGTTTAACCGTCATTAATTCAGGCAACTCCTTCATGTTTCATGCAGTACAATGTCGTGTACATTTCATGGATGAAGCCTTTTAAAATGCTCCATTCTGTCAGTTTCCTCTTGCTTACTAGGATGGGTTACACAAGTGCTTTGGCTTATTTATTGAAGATGATAGCATCGCAGTCCTCTATGGTATGGAATGGAAAAATAACACTGACACTATGTTATTACAAGCCAAGCCAGTTAACATGTATTCAGTTATTGATTTAGAAGAATAGGTATATGATTATATATATAAACATGTATATAAGATTGCTATAAGACTATACAAATATGTGTATGTGCGGGCATTTACGCGCGCGGGCACACGCATGCACGCACTGACGAACGCACGAACTCACAAACGCACGCACACGCGCGCGCACACACACACACACGCACACGCACACGCACACGCACACGCACACGCACACGCACACGCACACGCACACGCATGCGCACATGCACACACACATGCACACACCAGAAATTATGATATATTCAGTGTACTGTATTATATTTATACACTGTTTATACATACCCGGTTGCATGTGTTGGTGCCTATACATCTGGCAAATCATTTCCAAAGCGCCGGACGAACCGTAGAAGAAATGAACGAGAGCAAACTGTCACTGGCAAGGGACAAGGACACCGCCTTTATCAACCTGTGTGTATTTTGGCCCCTGCGACTTCCAAGGAGAGGAGTACGTGCAGATGCAAAGACTTCATAGACTCGTCTCTTCCAGTGGCCCTTGTCCAATTCCTCACGGGGACTCGAGGCCGACGCGAAGGAAGAACGAGACGGCCAGCCTCTGTTTTTCGGCACCATTAGCCACGCGATTTCAAAGATGACTCTATTCGTGTCTTCCCTACTCGTGGCAGGAGGACGAAGGCGTGGTTAACGGTTTCTTTCTCCGAGTTTATAGATTGTGTATTCAATTGTTCTATAAGGAGGAATTTCGCTTGGTCAGTGACGTTATCCTGCGCCTTCTGTATCCGCGGGGCATGTTTCTTCACCTGAGGCTGAGGACCTGCCTGACAGGCTCAAGGAAGGCCACCCACAGGCCAGCCTCAAAAGTTGAGGATTCCACACTCGGATTACCTTGAGGTCAGCGCATCGGGGAAAAGATCGGCGAACAGAGGAGACTGAACCCTGCCAAACCTCCCAGCCAGCTGTCCAACATACCTTGCAGCGGTTGCGGCTAATTTATAAGCTACAGAAACAGGTCGCTGTCTCCTACAACAGTGTAACTGTTAGTATCGCCAATGCCCTATCACTGCGCGAGTAATACACCATTATCATATCGACACCGACGGCCCCCAAGAGTGATCCAGGCATCAATCCTCCAGCAGGGTTGGCCCACGACAAATAAAAATGATAGAATCGACACAATAGCCGCGCGCCTAATCACTGACTGCATACGAATGCTAACGATAAACCCTGTTTGTAACGTGCTATGATGGAGCAGTAATGCGAAATGTAAAAGTTACCTTGCTCTTCCCTTTATGTACCAATTTAGCCGTATATTTGAGGATCGATATAGGTTCCTTCCCCTTCCCGCAGGCCTTGCCTTTGACGGCTGGGACTTGGAATACTACACCGAAATGTTCAAGACGAAGGTGGGCCGGAACCCCACCACGGTCGAGCTCTTCGATCTCGCGCAGTCGAACTCCGAGCACTCGCGACACTGGTTCTTCAAGGTAAGCGTTCTTTAGGTTGGTGGCGAGCGTAAACAGGGAAAAGTCTTTTAATTCGTATAGATTTGTAACTTGAGACTTCTCATCTCTCCCTTTGGGTATTTTATATAACATGCTCACGATAATAGCATGGTGTTTATTTATTCACGATAGTAACATGTGGATAGTTAATATAACATGCTCACGATAATAACAGTGGATATTTAATATATGTTCACGATCATAACGTGCATAACGATAGTAATCAGTGGATATTTTGTATAATATGTTAACCGAGTACCGTGTACTTAAGAGTATCTTCTACTTATATATCCTAAGGGAGATTATCTTCTGGAAGGCGAGAAACTCCCCCGCTCTCTGCTGGACATGGTCATTGCCACCAACAGTCCCGACACAACGCACGCCAATAACGTCATTGCATTTTCCGACAATTCGAGGTAAGGGAATACGTTAAACCTTCGACACCAGGGCAAGGATAATGCAAAAATCTAGAAAAAAGGGCAAATGTGAGTTGTTCTGAATTAATAATTACTTAAAACCGCGTCGCGATAATGGAGGGAAAGATGATACACTTTTTTTTGGATTTTAGTTTATCCATATTTCATACTGAATAAATGATTACTTCGGACAGATGATACAGCTTTTGAAAGTTTATCTTGTCCACATAATAGTCTACACTGAATATAATTACGAGTTGCTCTGAATTCATGATTACTTAAAGCAGTTAATACACCTTTTCATTTTACTTTATGAATGATTAATTAAAGATACGACTTTTTCATATTGCCTTAATGCACTGAATAAAAGTGCGAGCTCTTCAGATTTAATTATTAGCTAAAAATAGACGATTCGCCTTTTTCATTTTACTTTATCCGCATGTTCGATAACCTGACCACAGACGCCATGATTCGTTTTTAGTGGAATTAAAGGCTGGAAGGCGGCGGTGTTGGTGCCCTCCGACCCGACCAAGTCCTCCGAGGTGAAGGTGGAGGAGCGCCTTCGTCACCTGATCTTCACGGCCGAGACGCACAACTTCCCCACAGGTGTCGCTCCCTTCAGGTAGGTCCTGGTGTTCCTGTTTTTTTTTTTTTTTTTTTTTTTTTTTTTTTTTTTTTTATCTTTAGAAAGGGGGTAAGTTGTTTGTGGAATTCTGTATTTTGTGATTTTATTTTATTTTTTCAATTGCGTTTACTTGGAGATGTGTGTACTAAATCACGTTATTGAAAAAAAAGCCTAAATGAACCATATCTATTCGGTTTTGAGGATTACAAAAGACCTTTACCTTTGCCTCCCCCCCACACAGCGGCGCCACGACAGGCACTGGCGGCCGCATCCGAGACGTGCAGGCGGCGGGCAGGGGCGGGCATGTCGTGGCGGGAACAGCCGGCTACTGCTTCGGAAACCTGCACATACCTGGTGGGTCGAGTGGCAAATTACTAAAAAATAATAATA